ATACGATTCAACTCATCATTAGATATATGCACATTGTCAATAGAAGTTGAATGGATATAATCATTTACAATATATGTTTCTTCATACGATTCAACTCATCATTAGATATATGCACATTGTCAATATATGTTTCGGGCGCAAATGGTACACTTGTAAACTTTGTTATACATGTGTGTATAGTGAATAGGTTTCTTGAAAATATTTTTATGGGACTTCGCACACAAGTCCATAAGTTTTTCATTGTTGGCAATGCATGTACTTAATATTGAATCTAAAGATGATATATGTTACTTCATACGATTCAACTCATCATTAGATATATGCACATTGTCAATAGAAGTTGAATGGATATAATCATTTACAAGAGTGTTGAGCTTATTTTTACTTGCTTCTACTTCTAACATGACATTGTTTTTATCATGAGTCAAGCTAGCAATATCTAACTTCAATTTTTCATTACTTTCTTTAAGATTTTCATTTTCATTTGCAATGAAAACAAACTTAGATACAAGAGACTCATGATCGGATTTTAATATAACATGCTTGCTTTTTTAATCTTTAAAATTATGTTGTAATTTCTTATGGTCATGCAATAATTTTTCATATTCATGTGCGAGTTCATCACAAGTAAAATCATCATTGTTATCGGACTCACATACCTCACTAGAGCTATCGCCTAGTGGTCGTGTGCATGAAGATGAGGATCCTTTTGAACTTGAAGCAGAATCCTTCATAGTTGTTGGATCGCCTCTAAGTCACCTTGATGCGCTTCTATAAGTGTCCATAATGTGTAAGCACTATCAAGAGAATCAAGTTTGTTAGAAAAAGATAAGCCAAATGCATCAATTAAGAATTGTAACAAAGTATTATTCATAGCAAATAATCTATTATCATTATTACTCCACTTGGATTCCTCTATAGTGGGTATAATATAAGCATATTCAATAATTTTCCAAATATCAATATTTTTAGATCTAGCAAAAAGCTTAAATCTAACACACCATTGTGCATTGGGAAAATTACTAATTCTAGGAGCAATGTTAATATCATAACCAAGACTAGGTGCACCGTACATGTCCATGATATGTGCAAGCAAGAAACAAATAAAATCAAAACTATTAGCAAAAAAAAGATACAAACAAGGGATCTTTAACTCAAGGTGGTTAAACCTCAAATCAAAGAGCACCAAGCTCTGATACCAATTATTAGACCTAGAGGGGGTGAATAGGGTCAATGCAAATCTAATTTCGATTTTATGCCAATTAAAAAAACTTTCTTGATTAATTAATTCTTGCGAAAAATATATGAATGAGTTATGCGTAAGAATGTAAATTACAAGCATAAAATAGATATACACAAAGCAAACTCAAACACAAGATATGATCACGGAGTTCGGTCAATCCTTGACCTACGTCTCCGCTCCTCATCTTAAGGAGATCTCCACTATATCGACACACGCGGTTTGGAAGCTAGAACTTCTCCACACACTCAGTTTTCTAGTTCACCGAAAACTCTACAAGTCACTCACAGTGTATATACACAAACTACAACCTTAAGTGTTGGTCCTCACGTATCGCCTCCCCCAAGTGTTCGGCTTTACACCTCTCTCTAGGCTTTACTACTGATGCCACTCCTCTTGGAATCGACTACGCCCTCACCATACACTCCTCTCGGTGTAAATGTGTATTACAAAGTGATACTCACAAATGAATCTCAAATATAATAATTTGGTCTCTAATAATGAATGAGAACACAATGAAGCTCACTCTCACAATATCACTCACCACAACCCATAATATAGTGTATGTAATCCTTGAAGCTCAATAGGGATGTGTGTGTGATAAAAGAGTACAAGTAAAATTAAACTAAAAAAGAACTAGCAATAAAATAGATATGAAATTCAAGAATAAAATGCTAGATAATTGAGTTAGGAAAATTCTCTATAAACACAAAGTAAATGATGAAAGATTGATGATGAATTCCTCAACCAAGGATGTAAGCTCCTCTTTGTGAAAACCAAACACCAAACTTAAAACAAACTTAATCAAACTTTAAAACTCTTTTAAAACTTGTTTAAAATATTCTTAGGTTGTTGGAAATAGTTAATGTAAAGGAGTATTTATAGGCTTGAAGAAACCAGCCCAAGAATCAAAGAAAATGACCAAAAACCCAACCAAAAATAGAATCTAGAAATAGTCGTTACTGTGCAACGGTCGAATTTATAAGTCGACTTAACAATGTCATAAGTAGACTTGGTATAAGTCAACTTTACAGTACACATGAGTCGACTTGCAGAAGAAAAACAACAAGCTGAAAAACAGGCCATAAGTCGACTTGCGAAATGACATAAGTCGACTTGCTATAAGTCAACTTTCTATGATATATCAGTCGACTTGGCAGAGGCTAAATGCACTTTCTAGAGTAGTTCATAAGTCGACTTATCCAACCTGATAAGTCGACTTATGAACATGCACAGGGACTGTGCATGTCTAAGAATTGACTTTTAAAGTGCATTTGAAAATAACAAATAAATTCAGAAAAATATAAAACTTTGAGAAAAGTTTATAAACATGAATACAAACATGTTAGAAAAAGTATTTTTTAATTTGCATTTATCATTTATAAAATCACTGCATTTTGCAAAACCACTAAAATATGTGTTTGTGTTAACATGTGAATTTTTTATTTTCGACCCAAAACAGGTTTGGAAAACTTATGAGATGTTTTCATGGACTTAAGAAAAGATGTTTGTGATGTATATATGGTCCAACACATATTTATGTAGAATTTGTATAAAAACATCTATATTTTGAGAAAAACCACAACTATACGTGTGTGATATATTGAGCTTGTAGAATTTGTATAAAAACATCTATATTTTGAGAAAAACCACAACTATACGTGTGTGATATATTGAGCTTGAAGAATTGCACACAATATATATAACTCCTGAGAAAAACCACAACTATACGTGTGTGATATATTGAGCTTGAAGAATTGCACACAATATATATAACTCCTATACAAAAAAATACCCAAGGAGAAAGAGAAACTGCTATACTTGAATCTTTAACATGATGATAGCTTATTTTCAAATATAATAAACCTGGATATAATACAAACAAACACAAAACACTAAAACTAATATTAGTCATAAATTATTTGTTAAATCATCATCAAAACAAAAAAGCCAATACATTCAACCCGCACGCTAGCTCGCCTGCTAGATCGCCTGAACGCTTGACTTCGCAGGCGAAGTGAAGTTCGCTTGTGTAGTGGACTTCACCCAGGAAGAACTGAGCTCTCCTGAACGATTAGTTCACCAGCTTGTAAATTGGCTCGTCTGAATGCCAAGCTCGTCCGCAGAAGCTAAGCTTGCCTACAGGAGGTTCGTCCACACAAACCAAGATCGCCAACAGGGTTTAAGCTCGCATGAACGCTTCTGAGGTTCGCCTGACAACCTCGCCTGTTCGCCTCGCTCGCCTGCAAGCTCGCATGAGCATTCAACCCGCATGCTAGCTCGCTTGAGTGGTTAAAACAATTTCCCACGATTTGAGGGATTTGGGTATGGCCTCAGCTACAACTGTGGGAATAGTCACTTCCAACGATTTAAGGGAATAGTTATGGTCTCCCTCAATTATAATTGTGGGAATGGTCACTTCCCACAATTTAAGGGATTGATCATGACTCTCCTTGGCTATAAATCGCCATGTTCGGCCACAGGAGAGAGGGGCTCGCATTGATCTTAATTTTAGACCATCTTTGAGATCGCATTCTTGGCATCTTGCTAGAACTCTTTTGGCAATCGGTCTTTTGGGGGATAAAAGAACCGAATTTTGCCTCTTGAGCATTCGGACTTGATTCCAAGCTCGGGTGACCAAACTCTTCATCTCAAGTTTCTACCACGCACTGAAACTTGCCCGCAATCTCATTCAAATAGTCCAATGGAAGCAAACTCGGTACGAGCATCGAGGGAGGCATCCTATCGCTACCGTAGAATCCACGGTAAACAAGAAGAGATTAGATTCATTCTCTTCACTTCTGTTGTAATTTGATTCTTGATTTGTAATGCACATTCAATTAATACAAATCGTTTTAGAACCAATTTTGCATCCTACACCGCCCTCTTGATCTCGAGGTTCTTTTTGAGAATTTTTGCATTGATTGATTGATTGTTCTTGATTGTTTAGATATGCGATGGATGTGAACGTGGAGAGAGCGGAGGATGTGCTCACGCACAAGAGATTGCTGGAGCTGGTGCGTGATCTCGCAAATAGGCCTGCCTTTGCCGTCCTCTTGGTTCAGGTGAGAAAAAAGGTATTTTCTTTGATATCTAACTGGTTTGTTAACCGGGCAGTGTAGGGGAACTCGAGAAAGAGGGTTAAAACTACTTCACGAGATTTTCAGCCTGAAACTTCACGGGACTTGAAGTCCCGTGAAATTTTTTAAGTTTTTTTTTTTTGCCAAATTCGTCCCAATTTTAGCCAACTGGTTAAAACTGGATCGAATTGGGTAAATATTTTCGAAATATGTTGTTTTTTGCAAATAAATTTGTAAAGAGGTCTAAATTAAAAATTTGTCTAAAAATCAAAACCCCTGTAAATGGTCAAGTAACGGTTGAGCATACTTCATTAATGACCATCGGTTTCCAACTATTTCATGCAAAAAAATTATTACAATACAACAAATTAACAAAGAAAACAAAGAACTCACCAAATAACCAAACAAAATAAAAAGGAGTCCTCGTATTTTTTCCCAAGGAGACGAAACTGGCGGTTGTTGACCGAGGCAGCAAACCCCAGAAACCCCGCTGAAGCATTCCCTCACAAAACCCCATGCATTCATCCAAAACACTATTATGTCACTATCCAACGCATACAAAACCCCAAAAATCACAACTCTTGGCCCCATGCAAACCAATCACGGCCCTTCATCTCCCCTTCAACTGCCACAAAAAAAATCCCTTCCTCGCACACAAACAAAAATACCCCCCCGAGACAATACAACCGACCTTTGACTTAAAACACTCAAAGCAGGAGCTCTTGATACTTCTCACTTATCAAAACTATCATGGGAGATGATGATGATTGCTGTAGTTTCATGGAGCTCTTGAGTTGTGAAGGTGTTGTTCCCTTTGATAGGAGACCTATTGACAGTAATAATCAAGAGGCCATGATTGAGATGGGTTATGATGATGGGTTTCTCTTCTCGCCGCCACCACCACCGCCACCATCTTGTTCTTCATCATCATCCTCTGCTTGTGGGTTCTCTCAGATGCTCAGCTTTGGGTCACCCAATGAGGAGCGCTTTCCCTTCAACAATAATTCCCCAAATAGAAGAAGCAGGGCTAAGTCTACTAAGGTATTGCTCATGCATGCTTCTTTTTCCCCCAAATTTCTACTTTTTTTTAAATTTCCTTAATTTTATGCTAATGGTAGCTTTTTTAATAATTTACTTGTAGATATTAGAGGCTAATGGTGGAGGGAGGAGTACAGTTGCTACTACTAATGCTACCAGGAAGCCTACAGCAGGGTCTGCAGGAACCGTTAAGGTGTTTTTTTTTTGTGATTGGTTTAATTTTTAGATAGATTACTCGGCATTTGATACTATTTTTCTTTTTCTTTTTCTTTTTTTGAAAAAAAAATTAATGGGCAGGTAAGAAAGGAGAAGCTAGGGGACAGAATCAGTGCCTTGCAGCAGCTCGTTTCTCCATTTGGAAAGGTGATTCTGAACTCTTTTCGTATTTCCCCTCTTTTTGCACATTTTTATGACTTTTGTTAAATTAGATAAAGAAATTTATCATCCATATTCAAAAGCCTTCCTAGAGATAAAAATTCAAAAGTGTGGCATCCAATTTAATCTTCAGTTGGATGTAAAGCACGATGGCAATAAGATACGATGATCTCATATATAAGCATGTGTATGATTATTAAATTAAAAGATGGTTATTTTTTAATCGGATATTAAAACTGAAAAGCAGAAAATGTCACTTTGGGATCACGATTTCCATAATTTACTCTTTCATTTATATTTTTCCCTTTCCAATTTTTTTTTCTGAGTACAGACAGACACAGCTACCGTTCTCCTTGAAGCCATTGGTTATATCAAATTCCTGCATGACCAAGTTCAGGTAATTTTTTATTTTTTTTTTGGGGGGGGGGATATATTAACGTGAACAATTATATTTACGTTTCTTATCCTGTTGGTGTCAGGTTCTGAGCTCCCCATACTTATCTAGCCACCAACATGTAAGTAAAAAAGCTTGCACGTTGTTTATTCATTTTGTTCGATTTTTCCTTCTCGTGAGTTTTATTAAATAAATTTATTCATTCATCTAGTTCAAATTTTCCTTCTCGTAATTTTTTTTATTAAAATGTTAATTTTGTAGGAGGAGCAAAGGAGGGAGTTCGCAAGAGGGGATCTGGGGAGCAGAGGGCTCTGCTTGGTTCCGGTGTCCTGTACAGAAAATGTGGCCAGCAACAGCAATATTGGTGCTGATCTCTGGTCACCAGCTGCTGTTGGAGGAAGCAGCAGCTCCTCCTCTGGCTCTAAGCACTAAAAAGCCTCTTTTCTTCTTCTTCATCTTTTCCTCTCTTTTTTATGGGTGTCTGTCTACTGGGGTTTTGTTCCTTTGTTTTTGTTTTTCTTTGTGTGTGTGTGTTGGGTTGGGGGGGGGTCGTTTTGTTCTTTGTTTTAAATGAAGAGAATTGATGTTTAGTGTGGAGAATTGAAGTTAACTGGAGTAAGAAGTGCGAAGCTATGTACATGTGTGTTGATAGGGGCTACAACTTTGAATAGGGTTTTGAGAAATAAAATTTTGTTTTTGAAATTTGGCAAAATCTTCATTGTGGTGTTGAACTTTTTTTGAGAGAAAATGATGGATTATCACAAAGATAATCCAGCCAGCTAAATTAACAAAAAAAGATTGTTACAAAAGAAACATACACACCCCCAATCAAGAGTGTGTACTAACGTTCATGATCAAGATTACAAAGCAAAAGTAAACCCCAGCACAAGTCTGTATATAGCTATAGGTCTCTCCCACAAAAAGAAGACCATGATCAAAAACCAAAAACTAGAAGATACACAACTAACCAAAGTTTTAAAACACCACCACCAGATAAGCTCAAAACAACACCTGGATTGAATGTGCATCATTCTAGCTGGATCACCTCATCCCCCATAGCTCTGTTCTGTCTTCTATCTACACCAATAGCTTGCATTCTATCAGCACTCTTTTTCCTCCTCCTTTCTTGTAGTCTGATAGCTCGAGCAGAGATTTTTTTAGAACCTAACCAAAATGATGAGAAGGTCATAATTTTGTTCAAAAGCTCAAGAGATCTTTTCCTTTTATTAGAAAAAAGTCTATCATTTCGTTCCTGCCATACACACCAAACAAGAGAACAAATGAAGACATCTCTTTTCATTTTGCCATTATCAATCTCTCCTGCTTTCAAATTATGCCACATCTCTTTCAGAGAATTCCAACTAAAACCATCTTCAATTTTCAACTTGAACAGAATTGATCTCCATATAGAGTAAACAAACTCACACTTAATGAATAAGTGCGTATGACTTTCTTCCAGCTTTGAACATAAGCAGCAAATTTTTTCTAAATGTATTCCTTTTTTTTCCAACACATCTTTTGTGTTCAAACCATGCCTGAAAGCCAGCCATACAAGAAATTTTACTTTCAAAGGGATAGGCAATTCCATATATCTGCACAATCACATCTCAGACCTCCATCAATTAAAAAAAGATAATAAGATTTTACTATGAAATCCCCTTTCAAATCCCACATATTGTACATGATGACAGCTGAGGAGAGATGTAAAGAGCTACAATGAAGTATACACATATTGTACTTTTTGTTTAGGAGGGAAGGAAGAGAAAATCAATTTATAGTTTATTCTCTCTTATCCTTAATTCTAGTTGATTGTAGATTGCCCCCACTCTATCTCACCTCACCTCACCTCACTCTATCTTCCCTTTTAAAACTCTCTACCAAAAATAATTTATAAGTTTTTGTCCCACCTTTTACCTTACCTTTCCCTCTATCAAGCCGAGCTTTAAATTGAGAAATTATCTAGTGAAGAACAACCTGATAGTAGTGAAGAAAACAACTTTCAATCTATGAACTCATATGCAGGTTTTTTCTCCTCTTCTTTTTTTTTTTTTTTGTGATGGGGACTAATCATATATTATTTTATTTCTAGTGTGATCCTTTTTCTTTTGTGATGTCGACTGATCGTATAACTTTTCTCAGACAAGTCTGCAGTTTTCGGAAAATATTGTGTAACTGGAACTTATTGGAGTCTATAAGACAGTTGCTAAAATAAATAAAGGGGTTAATTGCAGAAAACGCCCCTGATCTTTGGGGGTAGTTGCACACAACTCCCATTATCTTTTTCTATTACACTAAACCCTCCTTCATCTTTTTCTATTATACTAAACCCTCCTGAAGTTTAGAGGTTTGACAAAGGGGTGGTAAACGATCGAATCGAATCGAATACTATGATGTTTGTATTTGTATTTGTTTAAAATTATCGAATTCGAATGCGGAATCTAATATTCATATATGGGGTTTTCCGAATTGAAACTCGAATACTTATTATTTAATAAATATTCATGAATTTTACGAATATTTATCGAATATCAAAGTATATTTACTCCGCTAAAGAATTTGATTTTCAAACAGTATTTAAATTCATAAACAAAAACTATTCTTTTATAATATATGATGTATATATATTTAAATCAAAATTTTTATTAAAAACAGATTTAAGATTTTTAAGTCTTAAAATCAGCACATAAAACTTAAGTAGAAATAGCAAGTTAGTTAAAATTATGACATCATATGTGCGATAATATAAATAATAGGTGATCAAATTTTAAACGAATATCTTATAGATAAACGAATCAAATATACATCTGGTTAAATTCTATTCGTTAATAAACTCGAATCCTAAAAAATAATTGTTTAGTGGTAAATGAACTACTAAATCGAATATAACCAAATAGTTGTTGCGCGCAGCGGAAATTTCGGCAGTACTTCGGCGACACAACAAGAGAGTCAGGTCGCAATAAGAATTCCCGTCTCACCAAGGAAACAAGAATCTGAAGCAAAATATCTAAACCAAGTGAGATATCAGCTCTTCCTCTCATCAGTTCTAGGACTGACCTGTCGATGGAACCTAAAAGCTATTACAAAGCACACAAATAGCGATACAAACAATTTTACGTAGTTCGGCAAATTGCCTACGTCCACGGGGAAAGGAGAGGGGAGATCTACTATTAGAGGGAGAGAATACAACTAGGGTTTATAATCACTTAATCTAAACCCCCATACAAACTCTCAGATCCCTCACACAAATATCTCTCTCAAAGGGATGCACAAAACCCTAAAACGGACTGCTCAAAATCTCCTCAACACAGCCGCTGCCCGCGCTTTTCTTCTTCAGCTGCAAAAAACAAATCCTCCTTCATTGTCCCGAAACAAAACCATAAGTGACTTTTTATAGCAGGTAAGTGGGCACAATACGCGTTATCAAAACGCGTGGGAGGAAAAACGTGTTATCAAAAAACGCGCGAGGTGATTAAAAAAATGCATGAAGTGATTGGTGTGGTCCCCATACTGCTCCATGCGTTCACAATTCTCCACCTCGGTAAAGTTTTTCTAAAACTGAGTTGACACCAAAGCATCCAAATATCCCACTTGTTGTATCCAGTACGAAGTGAAACAATTCACGATAACGGACTCAATCCACAACAAGTCGGGAATCCGAACGAGAGTTCAAACAATCTCACCCCCATCAAAACCAACTAATCCAAACCGGCTACATCGTAAAGACTACCTACGTATCCTCTTGCCCAAGGAATCAAGCCTCACGTAGTTCACCCAAATGGCCGCCAACGGCCTCAACAATCATGAATGTGCAACAAGTTTCGACAATGATCAAACTTGTTATTCAGAACCACCTTAGTGAGCATATTCGCCGGATTATCCTTTGTGTGGACTTTCACAATCTCCACATCGCCATCTTCAAGAACATCCCTAACGAAGTGATAACGAACGTTAATGTGCTTCGTCCTCGTATGAAAAACCTAATTCTTCGCCAAATAGATAGCACTCATGCTATCACAATGAATAGTGACGGATCTCTGCGATATACCAAGTTCCTCCAAAAGTTCTCGAAGCCAAATAGCCTCCTTCACAGCCTCCGTAACTGCCATATACTCTGCATCTGTCGTAGACAAAGCCACCGTCGACTGTAAGGTGTATCTCTAACATACCGGCACACGGGTCAAAGTGAACACATACCCCGTAGTAGACCGGCGCTTATCCAAATCTCCGGCATAATCCGAATCAACATAACCAATGCACAGCTGCCCACCTGTAGTGTCCCGCTCATAAACCAAACCAACATTGAGTGTACCTCGAATGTACCTCAAAATCCATTTCACGGCGTCCCAATGACCCACTCCTGGATCGTGCATGTATCTCGAAACCATGCTCACCGCCTGCGATAAATCTGGCCTCGTACATACCATCGCATACATCAAACTCCCAACTGCACTCGCATATGGAGTCTTCAACATTAATTCTCGATCTTCAACTGACTTCGGTGAAAGATTAGCTGAAAGTTTCAAATGGGCTCCCAAAGGTACACCACCTGGCTTCGTATCCATGCTAACATGGAATCGCTGTAGAACCTTCTTCAAATAAGCCACCCGTGTCAAACAAATTCTACCCTTCTTCTTGTCTCTACCGATCTCCATCCCTAGAATGCGCTTCGCCTCACCCAAGTCCTTCATCTCAAATCTACCGATCTCCATCCCTAGAATGCGCTTCGCCTCACCCAAGTCCTTCATCTCAAACTCATTTGAAAGAAAAACTTTCAACTCATCTATAACCGACCTGGAAGTAGAGGCAACCAACATGTCATCGACATAAAGTAACAAATAGATGTACGCACCTCTTTTTAACTTGCGAAAATGTACACAAGGATCAAACTGGCTTCGAGTGTATGAATGACCAATCATAAAACCATCGAATCACCTATACCACTGTCGAAGAGACTGCTTCAAACCGTATAGCGATTTCTTTAACCTGCAAACCAACTTATCCTTCCCTGCAGCTCGGAATCCCAATGGCTGAGTCATATATATTTCTTCATCAAGATCACCATGAAGAAATGTCGTCTTCACATCCAACTGATCTAACTCCAAACCATATTGTACCACCAAATCTAGAAAAATCCGAATCGAAGAATGCTTCACCACCGGAGAGAAAACCTCATTATAGTTAATACCTTCCTCCTGTGCATAGCCCTTCGCAACCAACCTAGCTTTGAACCTCAATGGAGTGCCCTTAATGCCCTCCTTCTTCGTGTATACCCACTTGCAATCAATTGTCTTCCGCCTTTTGGAAGCTCAACAAACTCCCATGTATCATTCTTATGAAGAGATTCCATCTCCTCCTGCATAGCCACCTGCCACGAATCAGCCTCCGAACTCTGCTCGGCCTCTCTGAATGTAGTAGGCACCAACTCATTGATACTCTCCACCGGAAGTACATACATAACTGTGTCGGCATACCGTGCTGGCATATGTATGTTTCTCCTCTGTCTCCGAACCACAATAAGTTGAACCTGAGCCGTCGGTCCCTGATCCTGTACATCAGTACTCATATCCCCCGTGTTATCGTCGTGCTCGCCTAGCGTCACCTCAGTCAGCACTCTAATGGATACTGCATCATATGGATACTGTGGAGCTGCATCGATCTCCACCACCTACGATATCCACCTGATGAGAGCTAGGAAGCTTCAAGATAGAAGCCTCATCAAACGTGACGTCCCTACTCAGCACAATCTTCTTATCAACTGGATCCTAAAGCTTGTATCCTTTGACACCACGCTTGAATCCTACAAATATGCCCTTCTTAGCTCGAGGTTCCAATTTATCTATTCTCACATGATAAAATACAGGGCACCCGAATACCTTGAACTGGTCATAGTCGTGTGCTGGCTCTCCCGACCACTTCTCCATTGGGGTCTTCACCTTAATCGCAGATGAAGGCAGCATATTAATGAGGTGGCTCACATATGTAAGTGCCTCAGTCCAAAAGATCTTCTCCAAACCACTTTGCCACAATAAGCATCAGATCTTCTCCAATAAAGACCGATTCAACCTCTCTGCCACCCTATTTTGCTGTGGTGTATGACTAACTGTGAAATGCCTCTCTATGCCCTCGTCTCGATATAGCTGCAGAAAGGGGTCAAAAGTATACTCACCACCGTTGTCGGATCGTAACGTCTTGATCTTTCTCCTAGTCTGCAGTTCCAATCTCTTCTTCCACTCCACAAATAAATCTAAGACTTCATTCTTATGCTTCATGGTGTACACCCAACAACGTCTAGAATAGTCATCAACAAATATGACGAACCAATGTCGACCACCAAGTGATGCAGTCTTGGTGGGACCCCAAATGTCTGTATGCACGTAGTCCAGGATGCCCCTCGTCTGATGAATAGCAGTCCTGAACTTCACCTTCGTCTTTTTGCTAAGAACATAGTACTCACAGAACTCAATCTTCCCACTCTTGGCTCCCTTCAATAGCCCCTGCTTGCACAATATATGTAGTGACTTTTAACCCGTGTGCCCCAACCTATAGTGCCAAAGTCTACTCATGTCCGCTTTTGAAATAGCCGAAGCA